AACGGAGCATTCAGCCACGAGAACCGGAAGAGCAGCAGCGGACATGGGCAGCAACGCGGAGGACAGCAGGATCCACTTCGGGAACAACGACAAAGTGATCCCCTGCGGAGATGGAAGCGGTGGAGCCCGAGGAGATGACGCAAGGTACAGGAGATGTGGCTGGGGTTGGGTCCTGATGGAGCGGCGGCAGGGGCAATGGACCTCCACGGCAGAATGTTCTGAACCATTGGAGGGGCCAAGGCAGTCGAACAACGGGGCGGAGATTACAGCATTCCTGGACGCAGTGCAGTCAACCAAGGGCAGCTTCACGTTCTACACCGACTCGGCGATCCTGGTGAAAGGCTGGAAAGTGAAGACGTTCATTGAGAAGAACTACAGGAAAGGCCACGGAGACCTCTGGAAGCGAATCGGGAAGGCGATCCGCGACAAGGGCGAGGCGGACATCACGGTCAGGCACGTTGAGAGCCACAAGAAAGAGGAGGCCCGCAGCAGGAACGTGGAGATGCCCGCATGGATAGGAAACATCAGAGCAGATGATATCGCGGCGGAGGTGGCGGCGAAGCACGAGATCTCGGAGGTGCAGATGGGCTGCTAATGGGGGGGGGGGAAACGATGTTTTTTTGTTTAAAAAAAAGCGTTCTGGGGCGGACGATTAAACAAATTGTTTCGCGGGCCTCCTCGCCCCCGCAATAGCGGGGGGGCAGGGCAGGCAAACCGGGGGGCTGACAATTCCGGGTTGCCTGGAAGGCCCGGGGGGGGGGTGGCACGGGGTGGCGATCCAGGGCGCGGGGGCCAGGGGGGTGGACGGGGTGATTTTTCAGGGCGAGCTCGTCCTCCTCCTCCTCCTCCTCCTCCGCATCCTCCTCCTCCTCCTCCTCCTCCTCCTCGTCCTCCTCCTCCTCCTTCTCCTCCTCCTCCTCCTCCTCCTTCGCCCCGTCCTTTTCCTCCTCCTCCTCCTCGTCCGTTCTCTTCCTCGTCCTCCTCCTCCTCCTGTTTCTCCGTTTCCTCCTCCTCGTCCTCCTCCTGTTCGTCCTCCTCTCCCCCCCCCGTCCGCAAGGACGAGGGTGGCCCTCTCGCTGTCTCGCTTTCCTTTCCTCCTCGTCGCCGCGCGCCGCAGTCCGCAGTCCGCAGCCAATCAGGGGCAAAAGCAAACGCCGGGGGGCGGACAATTAAACAAAACAGTTTCCGGCGGCTGAATTCTACTAGTAAGCCCCACTCAATCATTTTGGGGGGTCCGGGGGGGGGGGGCGATTCTTGTAATCGCTTCTCCCCATTACAACTGGGCGCGAGCAACGGAGTAGTTGGTCAGCGCCAGGATCACGCAGACGACTATGGAGTTGCTCGAGAGGATCAAGCCGATGATCTGGGACGAGAAGGACGAGGCAAGAAAGGTGAGAGCGCAACAGGCGAAGCCGAAGACCACGCTCGACCAGCTGCCGGAGGAGACACCGCACAGGTTGACGAGATCCAAAGCCACGTGGCCATGCCAGAGGTGCCTGCAATCCGTCGGAGTGCGACAGCGTCGTGGACAAGACCCGAGAAGCACGTCACCGCAGACGAGCGCGGCCGCCACAACATGCAGAGCGGGCTCGTCGTGCACGGGAGCTCCGCCCGGCCGCGCCGTGTAGCACGCCCTGCGAGCACTGCGGAGCTCCCGATGAGCGACGGGCGAGGGCAGGAAGCACGTGAAGCGGAGGAGGAGGAGGCCAGCTCACCGCCGTGGACGACAGCGCGCGGAGCTGGCCCAGACTACGGCAACCTGAGGGACGACGGCGCCAAGGTGCACGTGGAGTGCAGCTCGAACCACCTGGACTCCTGAGTGGCGGCCGTCGCCTGCGCCGCCATCCAGTCTGCAGGCTGCTAGCAAGAGTTCGAAAAAATAACGGCATGAGATGAACTTCTCCGTCACCGGGGGCGCTGCCCCAAGGCGGCTAGGAAGTTTATACCTTGACGTGCCGCCGTGAGGGTATGAACTTTCCATCCGCCCTGGGACAAGCGCCCATGACAGCGAAACCAGTTCTTTTACACCGTGTTTCGCCCGTTCAGAAAAGGGGGTGGTGTTATAGAGGCGGTGAGCGCCTCAACTCACGTAGCTAGTTTGCCGGGCGCCTCCCGGTGCCAGGGACGCTGGTGTATCGGAGAAAATCCCGGGATCGATCTGGACCCTGAAATGTGCTTGTTGTGGAGGGGTGGGCGCCAAAGCAAGTATTCATCAAGCATGATGCCGGCACGGCAAAGCCGCCCGCGTTCATCAAACCATGCATTGGCCACCTTTGGAATTTCTCGCCCCAAGGTATCATGTGAGCCGATTCCTGCAGAAACGGGGAAGCGAGCAGCTGTCAATCACGCCTCATGACAGCGGTGGATGAGGCGAAGCATGCAATCGATGCGGCACGCTCTCATCCCTGCTGCTCCTTCTATTCCTTCTACTCCTCCTGGTCCTCCTGATCCTCCTGATCCTCCTCCTCCTCCTCTTCCTCCTCCTCCTCTGAAAAGGAACCCCACTCGCTGCATGATCTGCTTCAGCTCGTCGTCAGTGGCAGCAGCGCCGCCAGCACCGTGAGAGCAGTCACTGCCCGCACCGAACGGATACAGCAGCTGCTCCCGGAGCGTCCCGACCTGGATGTAGGGGCGCTGCGGCAAGAACCTCAGCGAAGGATGAGGACTCCTAAGCTACATTCGGCCTTGATTGGACAGGACACGCGAGAGGACACAAGACCCTTCCGAGGGCCACATCGCCATAGGAGTGTAAGAAGGCACGTGTCGCGAGGCACAGGACACAAAGGTACCCTTGAGCTGGGAGGGTCGACCTACTAATCCGGGCCGACTGTAAAGATACAAGCTCTGGAAGAAACGCGTCCTGGAATTTTTGAACCATGTTCAGGACCCTGGGCCCTCCAGGGGCCTGGGGTAATCAAAAGATGGCTCCGGATGAAGAGCTGGTGCTGGATTAACCCCAGGGGTCTAGGGCGCGGGCTTTCCCTCCAGAACTCCTCCTAGGGGGAGCTTTTGGGAGTATCCCCTGGGACCCCCCCCTTTAGGGGGAGGGTTATGGCGAATTTGGAGGAATCAAGGGGGAGTTAAAAGGAGGTTTTCCCCAGGACCCCTCCCTGAGGGCGGTGTTGAATTGAGGGTGTCAGCTGACTGACCGCGAACTGGGAGAGGACGGGGAAGATGATCGAGCGTCTGGAGTGATGCTTTGAAGCAGCGCGCGCCCGAGGGAGCGTCGGTCGGGGGGCTGATTAACGAGGGCCGGCAGGTGCAGTACTTCTGCCAGCCCAGAGGATCGGATGGCAGTCCGATTTTGCTCAGAGTTTGCCAACTGTCGTGGGGTGTCTACTGATACAGGCTTCGGAAGAAAGTAGCGAACACTCGTGCCGCATTCATCTGTCAATGCCCCCCCCAATGATCCATGTTGGCGGTGGGATGAACGAGCTGCACTTCGACCGCAGTCTTTTCCTCCTCCTCCTCCTCCTCGCTTCGGGGAACGAATTGTTTCCCTCGACCGTACAGAGCATCTCGGGCCGAAATCCCACAAGACAGTCCTGGAGCAATGCTCCTGGCAACGGAGGCGACGGGCCCTCCGTTCCGGCATTGCTCAAGCCAGTGCGGGTCTCCAGACGGTTCCCCTCCCTTCCCACTCTCTCCTCTTCCGCCTCCGCCTCCTCCTCCTCCTCGTCCTCCTCGTCAGCGTCCTCCTCCTCCTCCTCCTCCTCTTCCTCCTCCTCCGCCTCTTCCTCTTCCTCCTCCCCCTCCTCCTCCTCCTCTTCCTCCTCCTCTTCCCCCTCCCCCTCCTGTTTTTCCTCCTCGTTCTCCTCCTCCTCCTCATCGTCCTGGTCCTCGTCCTCGTCCTCGTCCTCGTCCTCGTCCTCCTCCTCCTCCTCCTCCTCTCTTCCCCCTCCTCATCCACCTCCTTCTCCGTCTTCCTCCTTCTCCTCCTGTTCATGTTCCTTTTCCTCTTCCCCTCCTGCCCAAGAAGGACCAAACGAACTGAACGTAATCTTCCGGAGACTGGCGCACAGGCATTGGGTCGGCGTTGGACCCCCTTCTAGCGTCACATCAAGCCTGGCCCCCGTTTCGCTTCGCGAGCCAGGGAAGGGGGGACCCCGACCTGATCCCAAAATCCTGACGGACCTCCGAACAACAAATTCTGCTTATGTATGGCTTGTTCATCGGCATTCCCTTTTCTCCTCCTCTCTTCGTCCGTTAGTTCTGTTTCATGCATCCGCCCTCTTCCTCCCCCTTCGCCCCCTTCCTGCGAGGCTGGGAGCTTTCCGTATCAACCGCCTGGCGAACCGACCCTTTAGAACCACAGGGGGCGGTGGATATGGATGGCTGTGGGCTCCTAGGGGGCTAGTACATTCATACTCACTCCCAGGTGCAGAAAGATCGGCCCCCCAGGTGGTGGACCTATATCCTCGATGAACCCTAATAGCGGCGCGATGGCGGTAAAAGGAAAGAGTGAGGCGACGGCCTTCACGCAGGGTCAGGAAATTTATGCCAACGGTCCAAGACTACCCTGAGTCGCCGAACGTCGCTTGAAGATGCCCAATAATGGCCTCAAGGTGGCCCCATACGTTTTCGAGATGCCACAACAAAAACCTCCAAGATGCCTCCCTAGAGGGCCCCACGAGGCAACAATAATGATTTTTGTCGGTTTTCAAAAAAAAGTTTGGGTGTTCTCGCGTTTTCGGATATCCGACGCTCCAAGACGGCCTAAGGGCGCCCCAAGGCGGCCCAAGAGGCGCACAAGACGGCCCAAGAGGGCCCCACGATGGCGACACAAGGGGCCAAAGGGGGGGGCACGAACCGAATATCCGAGCATTCCGCTGAAGTGCAAAAACTCCTGGGCCGCCATGGAAGCCTCGAAGAGCCCCACGGAGGCGCCATGGCCGCCCAGGGACCCCCCGGGAGTGGCGGGGGTGTGGTTCTAGTCCCGGAAGGTCGTGCGGAGCGCTGCCGCTCGCTATCGCCCTCCCTCCACGGTCGTCCGCCCCGGCTCCGTCTGCCTTCCTCCTGCGCGCGGGCGTGGCAGGCGCCAGGGAAACTACTCTCCTCGTGCCCGCCGCGGCGCGGCGTCGAGGGCGCAGGCCCCAAGGCCAGCTTCCGCGCCCAACCTTCCACCGCCTGAGCCCAAATGTCAGGAGCGGCCAAGAGGGGGGTATCCAAGAGGGGGGGGGTGCAAATCATGACCGGCGGCACGTGCGCGGCCCAGCGGGGGGGCCAGGGACGCAATGAAATGAGAAGAAGCGCCACAAAATCCGAGGAAATATCATGGCCCCCGCCATGATACCCACCCACCCATAGTCATCACCCCCCTCTCTGCCGCCCCCGACACATGGCCACAGACGTCGGGCAAGGAAGAGGCCACACTTCCGTGCTGGCACACGGGGGCTGATCTCGGCCCCGGCACCGAGCCGCTGGAAGCAGGCGGGGCGCACGCAGAGCCAGACTGGGGCCCCGGCATGACGCGCCGCGCGTCCATCTCGCGCCGGATCGAGCCTGAGGCCGCCCTCCGCTCTCTGGCTAAGCCAAGCATCCTCCCCAGGGAAACCTTGGGCCCGTCGGCCGTCCTGCCCGTTGCCCCGAGGTGTGGATTGCAGCCGTCCCCCAACACCCATCCGCATCTGTAGGGTGTGCGCTGGGGATCTGCCTTACACTGTCCTGGTCGGGGTTGGAATGTGTCTGGGTCCATTGGAATGGCGATGACGACCCTTTTCCTCCCCAGCGGCCCATCCTTGAAAGAGCGCGCCCACAGTGACGGAGCAAAGGGGGGGGGGTCCCTCTTTAGCTACCCCCCCTCCCTTGAACCCCTCCTGCTGGAAGCTACCCCCCTACCTCCCTGTCTCGTTCGCCCCTGGAAGCTACCACCCCCCTACCCCCTTTCGGCGGTTGGAAGCTACCCCCACCCCTCCCCCTTTCCAAAGGGGGGGGGCTTAGCTACACCCCCCCCCTTTGGCTCTGCCGGACCCCCCCCCTCCCCCCCCCCGAAGCTACCCCCCCCCCCCTCCCCCCCTTTTGCCGCTCCAGAAGCTCCACAATTACTCAATATGAATACTACTCTCCCTCTTCCCCTGATGACGTCTTGGGAGTAGCCGCCCCCCCCCCGCGTACTGTTTTTTACACAAGTTTCCCCGGAGTTGGGTTTTCGCCTGCATTTGTTCCAAAATGCTGCTCTCGCTGAGACGCCGGCCTCATTTTCGGACCCCGCTCGTTCCGAATCGTGCTCCCGCTGCAGCGTGGGTCTCATTTTCGGATCGGTGTTTTGCCTCCGTCGTTCAGGATGGCGTTGTCGCCCCAGCGCGGGCCTCTTTCTCGCGCGCCCATCCGCCCGCCACCACCGCACCGCGCCCCGCCCCGCCCACCGCCACTTCCACCCACCAACGCACGCACGCACGCACGCACGCGCACCGCCACCACCACCCCACTACCCCACCCACCACCACCACGCTACACCGCGTCACACCACATCACACGCGCGCGCACAGACACACACGCACGCACGCACGCACGCACGCACGCACGCACGCACGCACGCACACACACACACACACACACACACACGCACACACACACCACCACCACCACCGCCACCACCACCACCGCCATCACGCACGCACGCACCTGGCCCACCACCAAACCACCAAGACGCCACACCACGTCACACCACAGCACACGCGCACACACGCACACATACACACACCACCACCACCACCACCACCACCACCACCACCACCACCACCACAACCACGCACACACGCACGCACGCACGCGCACCACCACCCACTACGCAAGCGCGCGCGGAGCCACAGGTCCGCTACGACACGCGTCCGCGGATAAAGAAAAATCAGCGCCATGGTAAGGGATGGGAGGGAGGGGTAGGACGTCAAAAATGACGCGAGCGCACATAGCTTGGGGGCAGTTCACCAGAAGTCAAGCTGATCTGGGTCATGAAGTTTCGAAGATATGCCCACGCTGTCGAACAGGAGCGGGGGCACTGTTCCACGAGGCACGGACGTGTCCGTGCAGTGCATGTTTTTTTCTAACTTCGAGAACAGTGACAGACTGCTTCCCTTGGCGCAGGCCCAGCGTGAGCAGTGCCCAGTGCTCAGGCTTAAATGTATGCACCCCAAGCCTTTTACGCACGTTTCGGTTTTCCTGGGGACGTCGGCGCGCTTGGGCCCAACCCCGCGGCCGAAGTCCCGCCCCGCCCCCATGTCACAAACATACAATATTTGGCGAAGGGTCGGGGGGACCGCGCAGCGCTGACCCTCGTAGAACGAGGTGCGGATGTGCTCTGGTCACTTTGCTGGCCGATGTGCATGGAGAGTGGCAACCAGCATGGGGTCTTTCACCACCGTAGGGGGAAGTAGGCAGACTGCTCCCCGCTCCTAATTGCTAGCCTTCGCATTGGCGGCCAAGAGCGTGGCGCAAGATGCGTCCTTCTGTGAGCGACCACGAGCCACTGGTCAAAACGTGGCCCAAGCACCGATTACGCGA